GACTGTGGGCTAGAGGGGGTGACTAGCGGAAAAGGCGTGCTGGCCACTCCCTCCCGCCTTCGCGGTCCGGGAGGGAAAACCATAGAGAAGAGCTGGGGATAGAGAGGCTCCGTGAGCGGGCGCCCCCAGGCCGGCGGGAGGAAAACCTACACCCATCCCTGACTCTAACCCTCTGATGAAGTGGGGCTTGGAGTAGTAGAGTCGTCTTGGCGCAGCACAATTAACTATCCAAAACGCTTTGATTGCTTTTCGTTTTATTCTCTTACTTCCAAAATCACAGGGGCTGACTAGGGGAACACAGTGTATATTCCATTTTGCAAATGGGAAAACTGAACTCAAAGAAGGCAAATGACTCGTCAAAGGTCAACTAGCAAGTCAGCAATAAAGCTGAAGCCAAGAATTCAGATTTCTTGACTCAGCCTGGGAGTCATTCCGCAGATAAGGTGTCCGAGAACTACCTCATGCGGAACTTCAACTTAATTTTATCTCTGGTCTTTAACTTAACCTGCTTCCAGAGTTTAAGTTCCAGTTTATCTTGAATTTTGACTCTGCTCTGTCTCCAAAGAGTCCTTTGTGTTGGGATTCCGTTTGAGATCTTTGTTGCTTTTGAGCCCCTCCCTCTTTCCCTACCCAAAGGTTCAAATCATTCCTGGTGTGATGGTCAGCCCGTCCCATCCCAGGAGAACCAGCGTCTCCTGCTCAAACTTCCATACTCCTCCCCTGATTGACCTCAAGCCAAGCTCAGCTCTGGGCACTCAGTGGGAATACCTAAATACTTTTCAAATAAGAGAAGAACAACACCGAAGAGGAGATGATTGAAACCCAGTTTATTAGACCAGAGGCATGCATCACCCAGAGCTCTGCCTGCTGTTCCCCTATCCAGTGCACACTTCTTGGCCTTGTTCCTGCTTCCCTCTGGGGAAGTATGATCTCTGAGCACCTCCTGGGATCCAAGAGTTTCCAGAGATCCTATAGCCTTACTCTACAGCTCCAGGCCAATGCACAGGTGACCTGCCCACAGGTCATTATGGGATTGGAGACCAAGACACATCTGGGCAGAGAAGTCTTGGGAAGGGGGTGGGGCTCAGGCCTGGAAGGAGTGCCTAGTGGAGGCAGTGGGGCAGGCCATCCAGCTCACTTGTCTCTCACTAATGTAGGAAGGGACAGAACTGCAGAGCTTTCAACTCTTCCTCCAGGCCTGTCTTTCCTCCTGCTACCAAACCCTACCTCATCAGAAAATATAAGTGGTGGGCTTGAATATTAGATAGGAAAGAGGGACTGGGCACCCAGAAGGAGGGAAAGGCCACTGACTGAAGACCCCAGCTTCTGCCTGTCAGCACCTCGCTGCCCCAGCTTCAGCAGTCACCAGTCCCCAGCTCCCTTCTGTCTCTGACACTTTTGGCTGAGTGTCCAGAGCAGATCCCCATCCCCTGGGTGGGGGTAATCTCTGTAGCAACCCCTTCCCTGGGGAGGCCACAGTCAGCCAGGCAAAGGACATTGGGATGGGTGGAGCAGGGGAAGGGAATGTTAAGGCTACAGGGAGGGCAGAGGGTGCCCGGGTTGTGGGGAGAGGGTGAGGCCAGAAAGAGGCAGCGCTTGTGATTCACAGCTTCCTTTGTCGCCACCGAGACAGTGCGAAGGTTACAATGCGCGTGTCGTCTCCTTGTGCTTCTCAGAGGGATGTGTGTACACAGTACAGACACCAGGGGAGAGAGTCCAACTCTTTATACAGGCGAAGGCATTCAGAGACCAGGAAGGGGGCAGAAACACAGAAGGGGAACTTGGGGTGGGAGGATGGTTCTCAGAGACAAGAGGGGATGGGGGTGGAGACAGACAGGGTCAGGGGAAAGTATATACAGAGATATAGCAATATAGAGTCTGTATCATATAGAAATAGAAAATGCAGATGAGGTTGTTGAGAGAAGCAAATGAAGTTGGGGAAGAGGACTTGGGAGAGTTCCATAAGAAAATTTATGGATGTGGCCCTCTGCAAGGGCCACTGGGAGAGGGACCAGTGAGGTCAGGCACCAGAGCCCCTCTCCCTGAGCTGGAAGCTAACCAGCCGGGTCTTTTGTGGGATGGTAGAAGAGGGCTGCCTCTTGGGACTTTTCTCCAGCAGCTTTGGGGTGGCTGTGAACTTGTAGGCATCAGGATGTGGCCTACAGCACCAGGGCCACATCTTGTCCCCATCTCCACTTCTTCAGGGGATCCCCCATCCTCACCCCCTAGAGATTCCACATGGTGTGAAGGAGTGGGACTGGGCTTTTAGCTCCTGCCTGGAGACTTGGGTTGGGGGCAGTCACTGGGCTGAGAGGGTCTCTTAAGGCTGGGGAAGCCCCCCTCACTAACCCTCCCCCTTAAGGTACATTCTCTGGTTGGGGCCAAATTTCAGACCCCAGGGATCCCTTCCACCCCTCACTGGGAGGGGGCTTTGGCGACTGGTGGCAGCAGAATGTAGGTGGACACTCAGGTGACAGACAGCCAGACAGACGATTCAGGCTGGGAGCTACGGGAGGCAGCATGGAGGAGAGAGGGGCGGCCTGAGGTCCCTTGCCCCATTCTCCCTTTTTAGTTTCTTTTTAAGATTAGTTTAGTTTTGTTAAACATAAAAAGAACGGGATAGAGGCAGGGAGAGGACTCTATGGTCAAGACTCCTTCCTCACCACAGACAAGAGGAAAGGACTGCCCAGGGGGTGAGTCCCCAGGACAGATGTGGGGGGCAGCCGGGGGCCCCCTCGCTCTCCTAGTCCCCCCCATCTAGGCCTTTGGTTCAGCGGCCTGCGGGGCTCAGCAGGTAAAGTCCTCAAACGTGCCTCGGGCCGGGTGGTGAGGTAGGATGTTGGCAGCATACGTCATCCCGGCAGGATGGCCCCGGAGGCTCTCGCACGGGTTCTAGGGGACGGGCACAAGACGGGGACCGGTTATCAATGCGAAGGGCCACAGGTGGGGCTGGGGCGTTGGGGAGGCGAAGGAGAGGAGGGGGCACGGCTGGGGGGAGG